ATGAAGAGATGTACGAAGAGGCACTGAATGACAAGTAACAACAAAGCACCTAGGTTGGAGGGCACGGGGGAGGCGGGGCGGCACACAAACAAAGTAGCAAAAGACAAAGGCAGTGAGCTAAGACATAGACATAGGCTAAAGGGCAGCAAGGCAAGCAGATACGTGACTCAAGTCGGCAAAAGCAATGACAGCAGGCCAAAAAGGGAAACCAGGCGGCAAACAACCTGCCACCCAAAACAGCAGCAAAGGAAGAAGAGGCGGCATGGAGCAGAAAGCAACATAGCAAATGGTAAAAAAAGGGAAAACTGAAAAAAATAAAAACTGATGATAACAAGATTGTTTCGTCGGAATTGCACCGACTCATCAGGAGGCTGAACCCTCGACAATCTGCGGAATCCCCGTATTTGATGGTTTGGGTCATGAACCCTTTGACCCTTGTTGAAGGCAGACTGTCCCCAAGAGGAACAAAGCAGCGGGGCAGCAACCCTGTGAAGCACCAGGCAACACGGTAGAGGCAACACGGCTGCACAACGCCAAAAATGACTGCAAGGAACGACATGGTACGCAGCGCGGAAGCCGTGTAGTGAAGCACAAGGCAACACAAGCAAGGCAACAGCACTGCAGGAGACGACAGGGCGAGTGACCCAGCAGCTGGGCAACCATGGAGCGGAGCACAAGGCACCAGCAACAAGGCAACCAACCTACAGGGGACACAAGCGGCAAGCACGGAAGGCACGGCCAACGGATGAGCAGCATGGCCGCGGAGCAGCGTAGCGCAAGGCAACACCAACAACACGGCCACACCGCACAATGAACGCATCAACCCGCAAAGAACCACACGCGAAGCAAGCAAGACAGGCAGCAGGGCAACGGCGGAGCGCAGACGAGGACGTCCACACATCCAACATGGAGCAAAGCAGCACATGACCTACTCACATCACGATAGAACCCCGCAGACTGTTGGTTCCCACCACCCACTGAGCCAGGGAGTCACTCCGACGAACATCCGTCATCACCGACAGGCGACAACCCGAACCGAGAGGCCCCCCTAAGAGTGCAGTTGGCACTCCAAACGAGGAACCACCGACTGTTTGGCACTTCTTAAGGGTGCTCAGTTGGGCGAACAGAAAAATACTTAGAAAAAAACAGATGGAGGACAGACAACAGGAGAAAGACAGACAGGCACAAAACTGATTGAGAGTGTGTGTGTGTGTGTGTGTGTGTGTGTGTGTGTGTGTGTGTGTGTGTGTGTGTGTGTGTGTGTGTGTGTGTGTGTTGAAATAAACAGAACCCCGCGAACGCGGCAAGCAGTGTAACAGGGCATGCATACACAATTGCCTAAGAAAAAAGACATCAACACTTTTGCACAGAACAATCCATACAACAGGAGAAATCAAAACACCCATAATTTGGGGTGAAACCACGGACAGAAAGACAAGAAGCAGTAAGGCACAAGACAACAAGGCAGACAACAGACCAAGTAACAAAAAAACACAAAGCGAAAAAAATAAAAACTGATAGATTGTTTCAGCGGAGTTGCACCGACTCATCAGGAGGCTGAACCCTCTACAATCTGCGGAATCCCCGTATTTGATGGTTTGGGTCATGAACCCTTTGACCCTTGTTGAAGGCAGACTGTCCCCAAGAGGGACATAGCATCGGGCAGCAACCCTGTGAAGCACCAGGCAACACAATAGAGGCAACACGACTGCACAACGCCAAAAACGACTGCAAGGAATGACATGGCACGCAGCGCGGCAGCCGTGTAGTGAAGCACAAGGCAACACAAGCAAGGCAACAGCACTGCAAGGGACGACAAGGCGAGTGAACCAGCAGCTGGGAGCGGAGCACAAGGCACCAGCAACAAGGCAACCAACCTACAGGGCACACAAGCGGCAAGCACGGAAGGCACGGCCAACGGATGAGCAGCACGGCAGCGGAGCAGCGAAGAGCAAGGCAACACCAACAACACAGCCGCACCGTACAGCGAACACATCAACCCGCAAAGAACCACACGCGAAGAAAGCGGGACAGGCAGCAAGGCAGCGGCGGAGCACAGACGAGGACGTCCACACATCCAACACGGAGCAAAGCAGCACATGACCTACTCACATCACGATTGAACCCCGCAGACTGTTGGTTCCCACCACCCACGGAGCCATGGAGTCACTCCGACGAACATCTGTCATCACCGACAGGCAACACAGACATCCCGAACCGAGCAGCCCCCATAAGAGTGCAGTAGGCACTCCAAACGAGGAACCACCGACTGTTTGGCACTACTTAAGGGTGCTCAGCTGGGCACACAAAAAACTTAGAAAAAGTCAGGGGAAGAACAGACAACAGAAGAAAGAATGACAGACATAAAACTGATTGTGTGTGTGTGTGTGTGTGTACATATGTTAAAGTGCGGACGCTGCCCTTCAGTGCCCTTAAAGCAGTCCGAAACGATATCCCCCAGAGGTTAGCTAAGTAATCTTTGAATCAAACAAACTCATGCATATAGAAAGACATTGTCTCTTTTCCCACAGATTTGCAAGACTAGTATCGTAATGAACCAGAGCACATGAAGCACGTATCCGCGAAGAGAGCTCATCATGTAAACGAACGTCCTTGTGAAAACAATCACAAACAACTTACTTACTTACTTACTTACTTCGAACAACTTAACCTCAGCCTTATCCCCTTAAGTCAAACCTACTTCAAGTTATGTATATGAAAGTACACATCTTCTCTCCCACAGACTTATCAGAGTGACTTTGCAATGAGTCAGAGCAAAAAAGAACAAGACGAGATCGTATAACACTAAATAGAACAATCATGAAATTCTCAATTATTTAGCTCCACAATTACAAGTAATTTGGAGTAAATCTAATATCATTGCTTTCTGACTTAGCATTGTGGTGGGTGACAAAGAAGAGGCCACACATTAGCACAATTTCACAGTCCCCATTCTACTGCTACAGCCAGCATCAACTCCCGTAAATTTCCAGGACCTGCCCGTCAAAGTAGGAAGCAGCAATTTCGGGAAAAAAATGCTCATTTCGTCTAATAACCCGCACAGCCAAGGCCTGCTCGCTGTTGCAATTGTTAAGCAATCAATCATTTTCTCACCTCAACCCATACGATGGATGACCCCATGCTCGATAACCTCTGGACTCCTTTCACTGATAACTTGCAATCAATCTTGAATTAAGACTATGATCTTCACCCCCCTCTCTCTCCCTTCATGAAATTACATCTCGCCCTATTCACGTACGCAATTCCCACCGCTTAAAATGGTCATCCAAAGGTTTCCTCATCACGCGAGTCGCTGCCTATCCCATTCTTAAGTTAATGTATACTCATCCTGCTGCTCTTCTTTCTTTTTTTTTCTTTTTTTCTTTTTTAACTTCACGTTCCGGGGTCCTGCCTAAGGAGGTGATAAGAGCACCCTCCTTAAGCAGGTCCCGTGTTGAAGGCTCCATCCATGCTGCTCTTTTAAGAAGTACTCTGCTCCCGCAGCATCTCGGAGAACGAATCCTAGTACGCACTCAATGGAATGAAGCCTTGCACATAAGGCCATGACACAAAAGTTAACAATAGCCGCCGAGCAGTTAACCATCATGAATAAATACTAATAATAAGTAACGTCATGGTTTCAAAGTCAAACATCCAAAAACGGTTATGGGTTTGTCATAAGCTATGAATCCGTGATCATACCTCTAGTGCGGATAGAAAGGGAAAAACATCAGATGGTCGACCGGGGATCGTGGCCACCTCCCTAAAACGCGCTTTTCATCAACCAGCCACAAGTTAACTCATCAGAGGGTAACAGAATGAAAGCACAAGCATCTTTAAATTGAGAGCATCTGAAGAGAACACATTGGTTACTAGCACCATTCATACACTCTTCATGCCTAAGTATTTTCTACATAGTCCAAGTATTATCGAAGACTTCACCTGCGAGGGCGTATCACCCGACTCCTCCGCGAAGACCAGATCCTGCACCGAGAGCATTTCCTCAAGCGACATTGGTCCTTCCATGGATACAGGATGCGACCGCTTCGCGTGACCCAAGAAAGTTACCAAAGACGACGAACTACTTCGGATGAGCCGGCAGAGTCCCGCTACGGAAGTGTTTCCCACACAACTCTCGAAAGTTACGAAAAAAGACGCTGATCTATCTTGAGTGAGCTGGCAGAGTCCCGGAACGCGAGCGTTACCCGTACCCAATCACCGGAGGGTAGACCTGATGACCCCGTACCCAATCACCGGAGGGTAGACCTGATGACCCCGTACCCAATCACCGGAGGGTAGACCTGATGAAAGAGGACGACTACTACTTTCTTTCGTTCTATTTATAGCCCAACTTACCGAAGGGGAGACCCCGCCAGTTATTCGACTTCTGCTCCGACAGTGCCTGCTGGCCCCCCTTTTTTTGGGTCGTTTCGAAGTGGGCCCCCCTCCCGTGCGCCTCTTTTTTGGCTGAACTGACAAACCCCCAAATGGACCCCCTAATTGGGGTACCATCGAAAAGGCCTGCTTTTTCAATATTCTATTTATCTTTGTTGTCCTCCCTTTTTGCCTTTTTGCCATTCCTGAGGTCAGAAGGCCTCATTTTTCCTGTTCATACTTAAACCTGTATGGGTGTGTGTGTGTGTGTGTGTGTGTGTGTGTGTGTGTGCGTGTGTGTGTGTGTGTGTGTGTGTGTGTGTGTGTGTGTGTGTGTGNTGCCTTTTTGCCATTCCTGAGGTCAGAAGGCCTCATTTTTCATAACCATACCTAAACCTGCATGTGTGTGCGTGAGCCTGTGTGTGTGTGTGTGTGTGTGTGTGTGTGTGTGTGTGTGTGTGTGTGTGTGTGTGTGTGTGTGTGTGTGTGTGTGTGTGTGTGTGTGTGTTGGAGGGGGGGGAAGAGGGGATGAAGGAGGGGGGCCAATTATTTCAGGTAAATCTAAATGTTGTTGATTTTTGGTTCTGATTCTTCCAGGGAACTTTGTTTTCTTTTTAACAACATATATACCATTCTTGCCTGTGTTTCGTCTGTCTGTGCTTTTGGGCCCTCTCAGTCTGGCTTGATCCCAACGGAGTACACGGCCTTGGCACTCATTCAGCGGTATTCCCAAAGCAAGTCGTGTGCGGTACTTCGCTTTGCCCTGCCCTCGAAGAACCATGTCTTGGGCCTTCTCTGTGGGCAGTACTTGGCCGTCAGAGCACAGCCGCGTACGCCAAGCGAGCAGCCCATTGTGAGATATTACTCGCCATTGACGCCTGCCGACGAGTTTGGCTTTTTCGAATTGGTCATCAAGCATCACCAGGCAGCTTCTGGTTCCATGCCAGACAGAATGATGTCCCTGCCGATTGGCGGAACGCTAGAATTCGCCGGCCCTCTAGGGCGGTTCACGTATGAGCCGAACATGTACGAGAAAGTAGGGATGATCGCAGGAGGTACTGGCATTGCGCCGATGATGCAGATCATCCGAACGGTAATCCGGCATCCAGCAGATAACACACATCTGTCGCTATTGTACGGCAACGCTTTCGAAGATGAGATAGCATGCAAGGAGGAGTTGATGTACATTGCTGAGACGAGGGAGAACGTGCGCGTGCGTATGTTCCTAGAGCATCCACCTCTGCGGTGGAGGATGGGAAGGGGGTATGTCACGGAGGAAGTGATAAAGGAGTCCATGCCAGCGCCAGGCACGAACTCTCGCATCGTGATGTGTGGGCCGGCAGTGATGATGAAAGTTATGAAGGAGACGTTGCATCGCTTAAGATACCCTGATCACCAGATCTATATTTTCAATGAAATGGATATCGAAGGTGCGAGCAGGTGAGCGAGCGGCAGTTGTCGGTGTAAAAAGGTTATCTCCTTGCGTTGTGGTGAGGGAAGAAGATGGTTGTCGTGTGTACATTGTTTGCGGGGTGAGGTGGTGAGTGCATTTGAATCGCGTTTACTACAGACTCCAGAGCATGCGGGCTGTAGTTTTGCTAGTCAATAATAACGTGCAGGTTACGGTGTATATAGTGGGAAATGTCTAGAGTCGTTGAGATGGGATGAGTACAGAGTGGTCTGTCCCAGGAGTAGAGGAGGGCGGGGGGGGTGCAAAGAGGAGAAAGGGCAGTTGGTTAACAGGGAGGAGGGAGATGATGTATAAGCAGGATTTTAGCTAAAAGCCTGCTAAACATCCAAACATTGCTGTGTAGATATTTATGTATAGCTCTTGGCTATTGATGTGTAGCTATTGATGAGTAGCCTAGTGATGTATAGCTATGGATGTGTAAGCTATTGCTGTATAGAGTAGCCTAGTGATGTATAGCTATGGATGTATAGCTAATAGCTGCTTGGATGTTTAGCAGGCTTTTAGCGGTGAGTCTGATCGACTAAGGCTTGGACCCAACTGGAAACAGGATGGAAAAAGCGTCAGGCCAAAAAAAAACGGGCGAAGAATTTTGGAAAGCCGGAAAGCCGAAAAGCAGTTTTGCAGGGACCCCACCGTGGAGGACCAAATGCGCATTTTGGAAAACCCTTTGGAAACCAGTTGAGCCAATCATTGCCCGTCTCCGTTGGCACTGATTTGTTTTGTTCTAATTTTTTTTTATTTTTATTTTTTTTTTATTTTTTTTTTTTTCACGTGCTTGGAAAACTCTTCGGAAATCAGTTGAGCCGTTGGCACTGATTTGTTTTGTTCTAATTTTCTTTGTCTTTTTTTTTTTTTTTTTTTTTTTTTGGTGCCACTCTTCGTCCCTACTGGCTGCTGCCTCCCGTGAGACTTCTCCAGGAACGACATGCCCTCCCCCCTACCCTCTAGAGTCGGCACAAAATTTCGGTGAGGAATCCTCCCGTGAGACTTTTCCAGGCCGCGGACTATGTGAAAACACAAACAGATGTTTTTTTCCAAGCCGCAAGCTTTCCGTCTGTGGGTTCCCAGAACACCGTTTGTGGAAGAAACGTCACCATTTCCTGGACATCTGCTGCACGCTGTGGGGTCCTGGAAACAGTTTCGCGGCAAAGTTTTTCCTTTCCGCGGTCCCGTGGGGTCCAAGCGTAAGAAGCAAATGGAAATGCCCTTGAGTGAGTGAGCATCGCCTGACCAGTCCATCTGTCTGTCCAGAATCTGAGATTGCCTACTGTGTGGTGATTTTGTCTATATCAGTTATAATTGTTGTTTCATCTTTCATTTTTTTTCCTTCTTCTTCCCCGTGTTCTTTTCGGCACTAGGTAGTATTGCTGTACTTAACTCGTCTGCTTCATCGGCTTCATCTTTGGCAAAAAAAAAATTCCAGTTGAGTTCGAAGTTCGAACTAAGCTCGAGTTGGTTCATCTGAAAGTGTATCAGGGTATACTGTGTCACCCACCTGCCTCCCTGGAAAAGAACAATCTCCTCCTTGGCATCCCCCTTCAACAACTATTTCGTCAAAACGGACATTTTATATTTTTTTAACGAAATTGAAAATCCATTTTTCGGCCAAATATTCATGAAAGAGGGGGTACGGCATTCTGAAAACACCCTTCCCCCTTGATGTATCTGCACTTGATAGCTGGGAAAGGTACTGGTGCTTTAACCGCTGCGATTCAGCAAAATGCCTTGGAAAGGTTAGGAAACGTACAGGCTACTACAGAAGCGCCCAAATTCATCCGACTAGAAACGTTTCTACTCTATTTTTTCCCGCGGCCGATAGCTGGGCCAAGTACTGGTGGTTTAAACCATCAGTCCTTCCGAGGCACTTTTCTCCGGGCCTGCAAACACCCTATGTGCCAAAAAATACGAGCCAATGCGGGCCTTTTATATTCTTTGGCTGGGAAACGTACTGGTGGTGTAACAGTATACATCACAGTTCTGCTCACAAGGCATGTGGGGGGGGGAGGTGTGGTCAAATTATGGACAGGCGCCCCCAAAACAGTCCATCAAAGACCTCGTCATGGTTCTGGTGCTACAAGTATACCAAGTATACACCCCGAGTTCGAGAGCAATGCTTCCGGTTCCGGTGAGTTGACAGTCATGTATCGTAGTTCCGAGGACATGACATTTGAGGGAGGATGTGTGTGGGGAAAGGGGGGGGGGGTCCCTCTTTTCCCGCATATACGCATGGTCATATCATGAACAGACCCCAGCAACAGCCGGCCAAGGACTTTTTGGACTCAGAAACAATGCCTCCAATTCCGACAACTGCACACACAGGCACCACCTAACCAAGAGGGACTAGGCGACAGAGCTGAAATTCATTTGTTTTTTTCCAAAAACTCCAGGGCGTTGTAGCGGCCGGTTACTGGGCACACGGTGATTACTGGGAGCAGTCAGCCATGGTTGCCCTGAGAAGACGAGGCTACCTCCCATCCCATCCTCGCATCAATACTCCTTTTTTTGGGGGGGAGAAAATAGCTCTTGTGTAAGCCCTCTATCCCGGCGGTGGCAAGAGAACCGTCAGAATTAAGGACTTATCTGCCGGGATGCTCCATCTATTGGTGGGAAGAGGCACCTGCTGGAAACCGGGGCCAGCATGCCATGGATACATCTTGTAACACAGAGATTGCTGTTGGTTGTTTCCTGGGGCTGTGGTCGTTCTCTTTTCAGGCCGGGGCTCCGTTGTCTAGCGCACCCCCTATCCCTACTATCCTACCTCAGTGTGACCAGCACTCAGGACCATTACCCTACAAGCATCGAGGGGAACTTGGACTGGACAGCAGTGACAGACACCAGGGCTAGCCATGAGCCAACCCTGGTTGAAGCAGAGTCGAACGAGCCTTGTCGTACGGGAACTTCAGACGCCAGGCTCAAGCAATCTTCCTCTGGCCCTTAAGTGTAATGAGAGGGTCTGCCTGATAAGCAGGCACAGACTCCAGGATGAGGCAAGCTGGCACCAACGGACACATCCTACCTTCCTTCCCCTTGCTTGCCCTAGGCTAGGCGGAACTCAGACTAGCCAGAGAGACTTATATCCCTGCTCTACCCCTAGTTGAACCAGACCAACCAGTGACTCACGTCCTCTAGTACTACTCACCCACACACAGTCTTTTTTTTTTTTGAACAGGCCCGGGTCAGTGCTAGTGGTGCTGATAAGAGCAGACACCACTAACACCTGGGGAGAGGCTCGATCTATTGGTGGGGAGCGACACCTGCTGGAAAACAGGTCCAGCGTCCCTTACATGGACAGAATTCGAACCATATCAGAAAAACAAAGATGTGGAATATTCCTGCCAGCATTGATTACCCTGGGGTCCAGGGGATTGACTGAGCAGGATGTTGGGGAGGGGGGGAACCTCTTCACCCTGAACCTGGTGCCAGATACCTGCTGTTACACCTTAGTTCCTCACACCCCTTTTCTGCCACAGCATGCATCCCATTATACACTCAACTGCCAGCATTGATTGCCTGTACCCGCCAGATCACTCTTTTCTACCATGCTCGCTGCCTCCTGTTCCTCTGGGTACCAGTCTGCACTGTAGCTATCATGTATTGCCCATTCAATACGCTCCATATCATTGCCTGTCCACCATTGCCAGCTGGTGAGGTGGGAAGGGGTCGGGAAAACCTGTTGCAGGTCGCAGCGGGATTTCTTGACCCACTGAGTCCAATCCTTGAAGCAGATCTGGTAGTCTCTCCTGAATTCCTCCTGGCTGCACACCTGGGCACCATCCCATCTAACACCTGCAATCCAGCCCCCCTTCTCACTGCCCAACCAGTCCCCAGAGAATTGATGAATTGCTCGTGTTATATCTTTTGCTGAGTGAAACAAGTCAAGACGATCTTTAACCTTCTGCCACTGTACCGTGAGTTCTTGCTGAATATATTGCTTTATTGTCTTTGTTACCTTTTGCCCATCTATGCGGACACCCTCAATGGTATATGTACAATGTTTTCTCCAAAGGGACCACATCACCGCCCTTCTCCCTAAACTGAACATGTTGTTTTCAAAAGTATTGTCGGTGGGGGAGGACCATGCTTCACATAATATGGCCCTCCAATCCCATGGCCAGTTAGACTCTGTGGCAAGTAGGGTCTAAATCCTGTCCCACCATCGCCACGTGGGAACTACCCCTAGACACTGCATGAATATATGTTCTATGGTTTTCGAAATTCTACAGGAAGGGAACGCAGTGTGGCATGATTTACACGATGGCAACACCAGTCTAGCTGATTTACGGTGCGGTACTTATCATCGAAACGCCTATCATCAACATAAAAATTCCCACGAGAAATTAAAGTTGAAAAAACATTCCATAAAAAAAAAAATTGTCATATATATAAATTATCATTCCAACGTTCGTCCAATTCTAAAATTTACAGTTTTATTTAATAAGTTTTCGTCTAAGTACGAGTTTCGGTTCCAACTACATCTATTTGTTCAAGATGAAATGAAAGTCTGGACAAGTTTATGAAATGTTTTAATTAAACTTTCATTCTACTACAATAAATATCTTCTAATTTAGATTGCATTAGCATATTTATGACTGGAAATCCTTACTTAGAATGACAGTTTAATTAAAATATTTCATGAACTCATCCTGACTTTCATTTCATCTCTAGCATGCAGTTCAAAAAAGAAGGGATACCCCATTCTTGGAAGGAAAGTTTTATGATAAAACGGATAATTTTTAAATTGGAATGACGTTTTTTAAGATGGAATGAAAATTTGAAATTTAGAATGTAATTTTACTATAGAATGATTATTTAATATTGGGAAATTTCTCCGTTGATCATCATTAGTTGATCCTATAGTACACCCCCTATTACTAGACCAACCAGTGACTCATGTCCTCTACTCGCCCACACACAGTCGAGCTGATTTACGGTGTGGTACTTATCATCGGAACGCCTATCATCATCATCAATGTGTACAGGTGCCCGTAGGTGTGTCCTTTTTTTTGCA